AAGAATTTTGCATAACAAAATTTATAATCATTTATCTATAAACAATATGAAATATAGCAATCAAAATGAATTAAAAAAATAACTCAACAGAACACACAATTCTTCAGTTTATTAGAGGTATAAATAATTCTTTTGAAAGCTCCCAATATACAGTTTGGGTTTTTATCAACTTAGCTAAAGTTATCGATACAATTGATCGCAAAGTTCTTTTAAATAAAAAGATTAACATTTTAGACAATGTTTTAAATTGGCTTAAAAGCTATTTAAATAAACGAAAGCAATTTAAAAACGTTTATGTAGCATCGCCAGTAAACTTGCTTAATACAACTTGTGGAGTTCCTCGGGGATCAATATTAGGTCCTTTTCTCTTTTTTGTTTACAATAATGATCTTAATAAAACGTCACATTTAATGACGATTATGTTTGCAGACAACACAAGCTTATTTTTATCTCACATTAATATTACATTACTGTTTTATAATGTCAATATAGAATTAGTAAGAGCTTCTAATTGGTTTAAGACAAATAAACTGTCACCTAATATCAATAAAAAAGGATTTTTTTCCGTCATAATTACAAAAAACATTTTATGCCACATGTCATACCACCTGTTTTTATTGATAATATAAAAAGTCATTGTTACCAACTTTCTTTTTTGGTATTTATATAGTTGAAAAATTTGATACGGAATTATCACATGAAAAATTTGAGTAAAATATCAAAAAACATAGGAATTTTACATAAAACAAGAAGTTTTCTAAATAAGTACGCTTTGCTTAAACTATATTATTTACTCATTCATTCTCATATAAACTACACGAACATGCGTGGGGTACCATAGTCATAATAGTCATCTTATATTATAACGATGGTAGCACTAATAAAATTAAACTCGAACCTCTTCCATTGTCAATAGAAACATGTTGACGCCTCGTTAAATTTAAGGATCACTTTATTTAATGAATTGAAATAAAAGTTTTTAATATATATGTAATTAATATTATTAATGTTATTTGCTTTATGTTTACATGTAAAAGCAATCTATCCCTTGCACCTTTTCATAATATGTATACCAAAAAGAAAAAAATAAGTACAACTTACGAAAATGACTACAACTTTCGTCAATCAGCTTATCAAACAAATTTCGAGAAAATTTGTATTTAATAATATTTAGGAGTTTAGCTATCTCGTTTTCAGACAAAACTTAAAAAAGAGATTTTTTATTAGATGATATATATTTTTTCTTTTAACTTGATTTTTAACACTTTTTGTAATTATAAAACGGGGTATTTACATCTTTATATTTAAAACAAAGTTTTTATTTATGTTTTTAATTCTAAATTATTTTTTATCTACAAGTATAATAGTTTGAATGGTTGAGTTTTTTTATTTCTTATTTTTCTTTGCAAATTTTTATTTTTTATTTTTTGAATATTTTATATGAAATTTTAACTCGTTAAATTTTTCAGCAGTTCTTGACAACAAGACCTTGTGTCATTTACGAGTCCCCGCTTTCTTCTATTTATTTATTATTGTTATTATTATTATTGTTATATTATTATATATTGTTATATTATTATTATTGTTCTAGTAAATTTTCATATATTTCTGTATTTTTATATTTTATAACGGATTGCTTTATTTAAAAATACAATAAGAAATAAAAAATAAAAAATTCTAAGTAGCAAATTTGCCAATTATTTTTTAAAATAAAAAATTAAAAAAATGCGGTCGTCCATAAATTACGTCACGCAATTTTCGACCGTTTTTGACCCTCTTTCCCCCTCGTTACATCATCGTAACACTTTCGTAACAAGTCCCGTATGAGTCGTCACAAAACCATTAAATCCCCATTCTCCCCTAGAGCATGACAAAATTATGGATTTTTATGATTTTTTTTTTTCGTTAAAATCTGGTATTCGACCAAATATTTGCCGAATACCGAAGAGTAAAAAAAGTAGCCGAATTGGCCACATGCCGAATAGTCGCCGAATATTTGTGGCATCTCCAGCTGTTTTATTAGAACTACAAGCCTACCATTTGAGCATTATCATTTTACAATCGCCTAAGTTATTTTTGAAGGGCTTTGAGTTAATAGTTGAAATGTTTATAATGCAGAGTCTTTATTATATGACAAATTACTTATACCTTAAACCAATTAGAAAATAATTTATCCATTTGTTTCATTGAGATATAAAAGAAAAAATAGCTAATTATATTTTTCTCAAAGCATGAAAAAATGAAAAGACCGTGAAATGATTGTGATGATACCCAAAACGATCACCGCTATCAAAAGCATATCACTAAATCATATAGTCTAATATCCAAAGCAACCACCACTACATTAAAAAATCGCTCAGTATTCAAAAATTGGATATATATTTTTTAATATCAATAGAGCATTTAATACAATACGCTTAGCTTAAAGAAATGTGACTTATAATGCTTAAAAAACGCGACATTGAGAGAAACACATCCAACTGTAAAACCGATCACATGTTTATTAGCAACAAATACTTGCCCAAGCAGATTGTTAAATACTAAAGAAATACAAAGAGGACTATTGTTACACGTTACACAGCAATACACCAGTTGAAGATGTCGGAGAAACGCCAGTTGAACTATTATTTGGGGGAACTTTAGAAAGGAATGATCTGAATTAGCAGAAATATTTGCGTAAGAGCTACAATAAAAGATATTATAGTTTATTAAAGTTTTAAAAACCCCAATACCATCTTCTGCTAACCGTAGGATCTTATACATTGATTTTAATTCAGCATGCCAACCTGCCTGCGAAATAACAAAACACAGGAAAAATTATTGAAACCATACCGCATCAAAAATATTGAGTAAAATCAGATGGGAGCCGTAAACACGCACTGCGAAATTGAAGATTTTAACAAGAAATATTCTCAATTAATCCCAAATGCCAGTTTTCAATAACATTAATGATGCGTAAAAGTTACATTTTTTTAACTTACTTTACAATCAAAAAGAAAAAAACAAAAATCATAATTAATTTTGTGATCCTATTTCTTTATTCACATGTTGAGAGTCCCACTATTCTTAAAAAAACTAAACATCAAATATTATAAAGTTATTATGAGATTCATGTGCTGGTCAAAATAAAAACTATACATTACGAAAAATATATCCAATTAATCCCAAATCCCAGTTTTCAATAACATTAATGATGCGTAAAAATTACATTTTCGTTTTATGAATTTTCTTATTCATGAAAAAAAAAGGTTTGATTTTAAAGAAATTACGTTTCCAAAACGCGGACATTCTTATATGAAATGTGATAAAGATATGGAGTTAATTAATTACAAAATACCTATGTTTCGTTTTATCAGATTGAATTAAAACATATTTGTAAAATAAAATATTTTTGTAAATTATAATATACTACATTATATTTGTAAAATATAATGAACCAACTCCAAGTAAATAAAAAACTTTTTGGGTTGCTATCAATACCTTACTTTGTATAGCATAGCAACAACATATTTTCTGTAGTTGTTTGTAATTTAATTAATATAGCAATTAAATTACAAACAACTTGTAAAAAAAAAAAGTGGAAATCTGGAAACTATTCTATCAAAAATTTTGTAAAGAAGTTTGTGAATTGACCTAATGAATATTTAATTTTCAGAAACAAATATAATGAACCAACTGCAAGTAGACATGTTTGAAAACCAATTGCGTTTGATGCTAGTTCTTAAAACTAAAAAACGGCGTGTATCTGGTCTACTTTTTTTGATTTTTTTTTTTTTTTTTTTTGTTGCTTGTTAATTTTTTTATTTGGGTTGCTATAAACACCTTACTTTGCATAGCATAGCAACAACATATTTTTGGTAGTTGTTTGTAACTTAATTACTATAGTAACCCAAAAGATGGTAGTAACCAAAAAAAAAAATTACCTTATGAAAATTGTAAATCTCATTTAAATACATACGCCCAATATTGTGTACTTAGTGCAAATAAAATACTGTTAAAATAATGTTAATGCAAAAATAGGCCGTTGCTATGCAAATTTATTTAAATAGGCCGTTGCTATGCAAATTTTCACATAGCAACCAAATTAAGGCATATATAAAATCTGAACGGGGATTTAAGGGGACAAGCTATCAATGGAAACTCGATTGAACCATCATATAGCTTAAATAAATTGACAGCACATGGCAAATAATGGCAATTATTAGTTATAGTGCGCATTAGTTATATGGCAAATAATGGCAATTATTAGTTATAGTGCGGTAAAAAAAAAAAATTCTTAAAGTTTTTTTTAATCTGTGATTTTCAAAGAATAATTATTGTATATACTATATACACAAACTCATTTTTTTCTCTTTTTTCATAATACTTAACCTTTATTGAGCTATTATTTAATGGAAAACGTTATTAATTATCTTATTTAGTTATCAAACTAAACATTTGAGTAAAACAAAAAACGAAAAAATATTGGTGTCTTCTTGGCCAGCTCAATAACTGATTGATGGTGGCAGCCAATCATAAGTTATTTCGTCAGCAAAAACGAATTATGGTTGATTACCTTATATCAGACAGCTTTAAGAAGGTTGAAAAAAAAAGGCTAATGACATGCTATTGACTAATAGTATATAATAATAATAATAAAGGCTAATGACACGCTATTGTTTTAAAAGGTTTAATGCTGAAATTAAAAAAAAACAAACTTGAAAACCTCCTTAGTATTTAACTTTTAAGTTAAATTTAGTCCAAAATTTTTCAGTTGTATTACAATAAATTATGCTAGGATTACGATAAATTATGCTAGGATTACAATAAATTATGCTAGGATTACGATAAATTATGCTAGGATTACGATTATACAAATTATACAAACAAACTGCTAGTTTTTATGTGTGTTTGTACAAATTTTATAAATATAAGTTTAAATTTTAGATTAAAAGTAAAAAAGTAGTAGTAAATTAAAGGTTGATAAAGTAAAAGCTAAAACAATGTTAACTTTAACAAACCTTATTTTCAGAAACCTTTTTTTTTCTAAATTCCAGTGCATACAGCGTACTAAATGTAACCACCAAAGAGAACAAAGCAAAAACAAGCAAGCCATATACGCATTTACTTTTGTGTTTTTGAGATTCACTTTTATCAAACGGTATTCTGATCGTAGTACATACCTCTGGTAGAGTTTCAGAATATCCATTTATTGTACTCCATGGAATACTGTTCTCAAATTTTTCTTTATCAATATGAAATCCATTTGGATAGCGTTTTTCTGTTTCATTTGCTTCATTAATGACTGCATTTGTAGGCATAGTTTTATTGGAACGATAAATGAGGCCTAAAATAAAAAAAAAACAGCTAATAAATAAATTACCAGAAATAAATAAACAGAAATAAATAAACAGAAATAAATAAAGTTTTGTTCCTTAACTACAAAGTAGACTAATGAAAAACGGATAAATGCAAAATGTCAAAAAAATCTCTAACCACAGAAATCTTCATTTAAAAACTCTTGTACCACAATATCAAATTAATTCGCTTAAATCTTATTTATTTCAATAATTTGTTACTGATTGTTTATATTTTTATATATTTAATAGTTACTAGTTTATATATTCATTGTCATAATTATTACTGTAAATCAATCTCACAGTTTTAGACATGCTAAAACACTTTTAAAAACAACAACTAGATTTGTGAAACATTTTTGGTTGTAAATATGCGTTTATTATTTAATTCGTAAATTAGTTTTAAGGATATTTGAAATAGTTAAAGCTATTTTTGTTTCATAAACAGTCTTAAACGTTTTGGCATATATGCTTTTCTTTGTTTGATTGGTTAAAATTCCAACAATAAAATATAATCTTGCTTATGTCAGTTTTTTGATTAATTGCAAATAAATTTGAACTTTTTTTATTTTTTACACTATACAAGGATTAATATTAAATAATCCCCAATGCATTTACAAGCCAAGTATCATACTTAAATCAAAATGCTGATTTCAGGTACTGATACTTCGTTCAATGACTTTTAAGTAAAATCAAGTAGAGTTTTTTTCAAACATATTGCCATTAGATTTAGTCCGTTTAAACGTAGTTATACAGTTTCTACCACAAATAAATTATTTTGTTCAATCTTTACAAAGAAAACACAAAGGATATATTTTAGAGAAATACGAATTTTAAGAGATTCAAAAAATAAACAATTTTTAAATTTCACCTTTAAGACTGATTTACACTGCATTACACTGAATTACTGCAAATGGAGTGAATTACACTGCAAATGGAGAATTAAAATTAATGCAAATGGAATGAATTACACTGCAAATTGAGAGTTAAAATCATAAAGTTGGCAGATAAAATTATTCAAGTGTAATGAGGTGTATAAAGAATCTGTTTTAGAGAATTTTTGCTTCAAAATAGCTTTATTAAGCGCTATGTTCCAGGAACTATAAGGCTGTTATTAATACTATAGGAAATATTTGACTTTTAATAATAGCGCTATTAAACATAATCAGCATTTTATAAATAACATATTAATGCTATTTAAGTAATAGTATTCAATATAATCAATAATATTTTATTTTTAGTAAATTGTAGTAGATCAAATAAAATTCTAATTTTGGACGTAAGTACAAAAATACTGTTTATTGTTTTTGTTAATTTTTTTGTTGCATGTATAAAGTAAAGTTTATTTTCAGAAACGTGATAAAAATCTACATTAATAATAATGTTTATCTTAGTAACCCAATAGCTACCATAAAAACATCAATTGTTTATAATATGTTAAATTAACTTGAATAAATTACTCTGAATAAAAACTCTGGAAAAAAATAAAAAAAAGTTAGGAGCCATCGGGATATTCCAGGACCACCCTTGATCACCCCTCAAATAATCACCTGAGCGGTCATGATCAACCTAAAATACCGAATATGCCTAGTTTCAAATTCCCAGACCGCAAATATCTATTTTTAGAAAAACAACATGTCGCATCTAATTGAAAACATCAGGAGATCTCAGGACTACCCTTGACCACTACTAAAATGACTATTTGAGCAGTCATGCCACTTCTAAAGACCTAATATGCCTAGATTTGTATTCCCTAATAGCAGTTTCCTATACTTAGATATACAACATGTTCCATCTAATTTAAAAACCATCGAGAAACTCCATAACCACCCTTAACAACCCCTAAAATGACCACTTGTGTGTTCATGACGAGTCCAACATTGAAATGGAGCCTAAAAATAAAAAAAAAATAGAGCCTAAAAAAAACATTCTTGCAGGGTAATATTTGGGGCAAACAGAAATCCATATTGCGAAGTTCTCTTCCGTAAGCCATGTAAGTAAGTAAGTTACATGCAAGTAAGCTTGCGTAATCTGCGTTTTGGAAAAATGTTGGCCTATCATTGTATTTCAAGTTGGCTTTGCGTAATACTTTACGTTGATTCAATGTTCTATTTGAAGTTGATTCAACGTTATATTTCATGTTTGCGCAACGTTATATTTAACTGTTATTGCAATTAAATTTGTTTGTTTTATGTTTTATATTTTGGTATATATATATATATATATATATATATATATATATATATATATATATATATATATATATATATATATATATATATATATATATATATATATATATATATAAATATATATATATATATATATATATATATATATATATATATATATATATATATATACATATATATATATTGAATATTATGTATTTATACGCATCTATAATTGTGTAAATGTAATACTTCTCAAGCAAATGCCTTGCGGAATCAACTTATTACTCAGCCCCAGCATTCACGTCAGCATTCTTGTTTCGGAGCTCTCTGACAATGACACTAGGCTGAGTAAAAAGATATTGGAAGAATAGAAGAAATTACAGTAAAAGTCAGAAGTAAGAAAGTTAGAAGATAGAATAGAAAAAACGCATAGATATATATATATATATATATATATATATATATATATATATATATATATATATATATATATATATATATATATATATGTATATATATTTATATATATATATATATATATATATATATATATATATATATATAGTTTCAGTTGGTATGGAAATATATTCTGCTAATATATTTTTCTTTTCCTTATATAACAATATCAAGCTGCAAGCATAACAAACATGGTTAATACCTGTTTCATTAGAGTGTAAAAAAATCTCATTAAAACTAATTAGTAGTAGTACGCGTAGAGGTTTTCTTGTTTATGTGTTTTTCAAATGACAGGTCTATGCCTTTTTTCTATTCTATCTTCTAACTTTCTTACTTCTGACTTTTATATATATATATATATATATATAATATATATATATATATATATATATATATATATATATATATATATATATATATATATATATATATATATACATATATATATATATATATATATACATATATATATATATATATATATATATATATATATATATATATATATATATATATATATATATATATATATATATATATATATATATATATATATATATATATATATATATATATATATATATATATATATATATATATATATATATATATATATATATATATATATATATATATATATATATATATATATATATATATATATATATATATATATATATATATATATATATATATATATATATATATATATATGAACGTTGATTCAATCTATATAATCCAAAGTTAATCCATACCCAGTGGGCATTTCGACGTCGAACGAACGTCGAGCGACGTCGGATCTCGACGTCGGATCGACGTTGGGTTTACGTTGGAAATGGAAATGTTATTTGACGTCGGATAAACTGACATCGCGCGACGTCGGCATTCCGATGTAAATCCAACGTGTTTTTTGAAAACCAAAAAACGCTGCCTTTGGCAGGAAACGAACCTCGGTCTATTAGTTACTAAATCCTATGCGCTTACCACTACACCACAAGGACATATAAATTGATGAGTTTATTTAGTAATTTATACTTGTAGCTATTTGGGAATTATTACTTTGATAAGAAATAATTTTGTTTAAATATTATATAAATATTAAAACAAATAGTTATATATTATAAAAAATGTATACTCGAAAATGTTAATAGTTAAAAAACTATGCTAGTGCATCATACAAAACCTCATGATGTTTTATCAACCTTTATTTAAACTTTTTTCCATTAATAAAAAAACACGCTTAGTTCACATAATTATTGAAGAGCGCAATTGCACACATATTGTTGGGTTTGGATTAAATTTTCATCAGCGATGTCTTACGACGTTGTTCCGACGTCGTTTTAAGGACGTTGGATTGACGTCGGAAGACGTCAAAAGACATCGGAGTACGTTAATATTATGACGTTGCCCGACGTCTTTTTATCGACGTTGGATCGATGTCAGTACTGCGACGTTTTTTGGACGTCTTTTATAAGATGTCGGAACAACGTCAAAATACATCGAAACGACGTCAGGGGATGTTGAGATAAAGACATCGCCCGACGTCATTTTACTGACATCGGAACAACGTCGGAATAGGTCTTTTGACATCGCTGATGAAAATCAAACGTAAATCCGACGTCGGATTGACGTCGGGTGCCCACTGGGTACACATTGGATTAACGTTACGTTATAAATATTGGATCAATGTTGATCGCTATACATTGGATCAACGTTGAGTTTAAATCGGAAAAATAACCAATCTTTGCGATGTTTTTACATACGTTGAACCATAGAAGTATAAAACAGATGGAAGTTCATCGAGCCGCAAACATCACAGCAATTTCAAGTCGTCACGGGAGTATGCTTGTAACCGACAATAAAGTTTCACTGGATAAAAAACAACAAAATTCGCTGAAATGATCTTTATTAAAACATTAAAAAATTAATTATTCAAGGGATATGCTGCAAATTTTTAACCATTAGTAATTGCAATTATTATGCAGAAGGTTTATTAAAACTCGGAAATTAAGTAGAACCACTTGATTTTAAAAGCATATGTTAGTTTAAGCTTCTTTTCTTGCTTCATTTCATAACACGACATTTGATAAAAAAGACAACTAAAATAATTTTTAAAAAATGAAAATAATAGTTTTCTAAATAACTAAAGTTTAAAGTTTTATTAGCTGTATATCATAACTCCTCTCATTCTTGCAGTACTCCATTTATTTAAAATAAAGTTTATAAAAAAATTGTTGTTTGGCGTTTTTTTGCACCATTTTTAATGTTTTTGTTAAATTTTATTGGCAAACCTTTATTTTTTAATTATTATAAACGTACCTATTTGCGTCAACATATAAAGATTAGGCGTTTAAGTACAGTCTTGATGTCGTTTTCTTGTTTACAAAACAAAAGGTTACGAGCATAATCCCGAAGAACTTCAATACAGTTGAACTTCCATCTGATTTATACTTCCATGGTTAAACCAATGCAATTTTGCTAACTATTTTTAATCACGTTAATATACATACGATAAAACTCACATTGGGTCAACTTTGTATTTGCATCGGAGATTACATCGTTCACGATATATTTACAAACGTTGGCCCAACGTACATTTATGTTATGCATATTATGCATATTATTAATATCTAAAAGAGTTTTTAAATTTCAGTTAACTTTTCTAAATATGGCCAAGATAATGGAATATGCAGAGCAAAATAGAAGCTTTGAAAAGTGGGCAACCTCTCT